TTCAATTTGTACTACTTTTAATAATATAAAATTATGCATATATTATTAAATTCATTTAATTTTATTAATATATTTAATAAATATTTACTAATGAGTAAATATTATAAATAAATTATTAAATATATATTAAATAATTATATATATTAAGTAATATAATATTATGTACTTTTAAAAATATTACATATTATAATAATATTTATGTATTAAAATAATAGATAATAAATAAATACTAAATGTAGTAAATAATAAAAATTACAATAAATCTATAATTAAATAAAGCGTATAAATAAAATCATATAAAATATTTTTTATGTATCAATTTTAATTATTTTTAGTTCATAATTAATATATTATATTATTTATTAGTTTATTTAATATATGTATTTTACTATATATTTATTTATTCATTATATTATTTAAAGATTTTTTGGTAAATATTATTACTTATTATATTATTTAGTATATTTATTTATTATATTATTTATACATTTATTTATTATGTTATTTGATAGATGTATTTAGTAATTTTTTTTTTTTTTATTTCTTATATTGTTTAATATACTTATTTATTTTATCAATATTTATTTAATACACAAAACAAATAATTATATTATTTAATATATTATTTCATAAATTTTATTATTTAGTAAATATTTTTTAATATAGATATAAAATTTAATCATATTATTTATTATATTTATTTAATAAATTTTATATTATTTAATTTACGTATTTATTTAGTAAATGATTATTTATTTATTATACTATTTCATATATTTTTTTTTTGTTTGGTAAATATTATTATTTATTATATTATTTAATATATTTATTTATTTGGTAAATATTTATTTAATATTCAAATAAAATTTAATTAAGTACGCTAAATATTTATTTAGTAAATAGTTAAATACTATTTATTTATTAAATATTTAACTAATATATAGTTATTTAATATCAACATCCTTCAATATATTTATTTAATATATATATATATATATATATATAATATATATATATATATTTAAAAATGATAAATACAATTATAATATATTATTTATTATAATATCTAATATTTTTTTTAGTAAAATTATATTTAATATATAAAAAAGTTTATTAAAATCTAAAAGTATTACAAATTGAATAATATATATGTATTTGATAAAAACTATGCTGGTAGATATATAATTAAAGCTAAATAATTAACATAATGGGTGCTAGCTCAAGTGGTTCATGAGCTTCTTTTATGCCCCCATTGGACCTGGGTTCGAATCCCCTTCTTAGCACATTTTTGTAACTATTCCACATAAGCGCCACGTGGCATTACAACTCAGCAAAAAAAAAAAAATGGGCGAATTTCCACGTAACTCAGTCGGTCACAATGACTTGATATAGGCGGTCAGAGGACCAAAAAACTATTTTTTTTTTCAGTTAGGGGACTATTTTAAAAAACAGTCCATTTACAGGACCAAATTGAAAACAGCATGTAGATAAAGGACCAAAAAACCTTTTTTTCTGAATTGATGAATATCAAGTTGATGAAAAAGGTGGTGTTTATGTAAGTGGGATGACTTCAATTCAGTTGAATTCTGAATTTAATTTTATTTGATGTGCTACACTTTTTCCATATATTTCTACATAGATAGATAGTAGGTAATATATATTCCAGCACTTTCTTCACTTTTAGGTCAGCACACGTTTCCCTCAAAGTACAAAGTACAAACCCCCTCTATATGTGCCATTTTCTTCTGTTTAGCATATTAGAGAGGGAATAAATAAGGCCTTTTTTTTATCAAAAGATAATAATAATAATAATAATAATAATAATAATAATAATAATAATAATAATAATAATAATAATAATAATAATAATAATAATAATAATAATAAAACAAATGGAGTTTGAAACACTAGAAAAAACTAAAAGAACTGCATTTTAAAATTCGAACTCCAAAATCTGGATTTCAATTTCCCGTAAGACCACTGTTAGGCAGGCAGGCAGCAGGAAACACTAACAGTTAAGAAATTATATATATTTTTTAAAAAAAATATGCATAATTGTCGTACTTGAAAAACATTATAAACAAATGTGAGAATGTGGGAAAAATATATGTATTATTCACAAAGACGTATACATATATATATATATAGATACAAAGATGGGACTTAGCCTTAGATGGGCCTAAACTTAGCCTATAGTACAAGAATACATCAGATAAGAGACTGAAGTTTGAAAGCCTATAGCCTATAGACTGATGTTTGAAAACGAGCAGCCAAACAATTTCAAGCCTCATTTGCACTGTCAAAAGGCAAGTTGCACCTGAATAACAGATACTGAAGTATTACGTAACCAAGTAAGAATCTGATGGTTCTTACTATCCCAATCTTCAAACTTATCGACGTAAGTGGTAAGGGTCTGTGGTGTGAGGTTAGGATCCCCGAAAAGAGACAGATACACAGGTGGCAACACATCACCAGTTATAATTCACCACAATTTTTGCTCAATTAAAATACTCTTCATAGACTGTGCCCAAAACTGTAATTATCTTCTGATAAGACAACACTAATAGAAGAATGCACATCCATATGATCCATATCTAAAAATCATATCAACACAATATCACAAAACAAATGAAAAATATAGGCACGAATCAGATCACGAAACCGTCAAAATATAAATACAGGCCGAAATTAAAAACGGCATGAAAACCAAAACCAACCACACCAGGACGTAGTCGCCGATGAGAGGAGTCGATGGCTGAAAAATGGCGGCGATCGGAGAAGGGGGTGGATCTCACGCATCGGTTGAAGTTGTCGGTGCTGTCGGAGTGTTCCAGCGAGTGTGGGCCCCAGGCGCCTCCGTTTTGGCTGAAATTTTCAGCGAACGGTCGCCGAAGGATGCCAGAGAGGATGGTGTGGGAGGTGAGATTTGGCAGTGGCCGGAAACGAGCGATAAAATATTAAGCTTAGGACTCTAAACCTAATCTGATACCATGTGAGAATGTGGTGTATTATTCATCAACATATACACATACATATAGATACAAAGATGGGCCTTAGCCTAAGTTGGGCCTAAACATAGCCTATAGTACAAGAATATATTTTACATAACTAATAATAAATAATATATTATTTTATAATACAAGTATATACCTTTAGTAGGATAATATTACAGATCGACTACTTACAATTATATTTCCGTTGGTAAAACTCATATTTCTTGTAGTGACACTTTTTTTAAAAAAAAATAATGAAAATATATTCCAGTGAAATTACAGCATCAATTGTAATAGATACTTTGACACTATTATTTCTGTTTGAATTTCCATCCCAACAGAAA